GGGAGGAAGGGGTTGCATCATAAGATTGCTTTCTTTTATGTATCGATTGCTTTTTATTTTAATACGATGTTGCTGTCTGTACCCACAGCAGGTGTCTGTGTTCCTTCCCAGAATGGGTATTGCTGTTCACAGCTTTAATCCTTTTTCTTTCTTAAAGAGTAAAAGTTAGAGAGAAACTGGTGAAAGAGGAAAGTGCTCGTGGAAGCCCTGAACTTGTCACAGACACAGTATCTCAGAGAAAATCCCATCCAGTGCCACCTCACTACATGCCTCTTCAGACAGAAACGTCTGCCTTTGATAGGGTTATAAATCGGCCCGTCAGTTCAGTCCGCCAACCAATACATGGCTATATTCAGCCTGCTGGCATTGCTCACACAGCTCAGCTGATGGCAACAGAAGAACCAGCAAACATCTCTGTTGGCAGCCTCCTCCTACCAGACAATGTTAGCCTCTTAACAAAATCGTCAGCAGCCACTGCATCAGAGAGTGAAAAGAAAGAGGCACTTGGTTATGGAGCAAAGCCTGTTGAAGAAGATTCCTTGGAGGGTGAACAGGCTTCCAAAGGCAGAAGACCAATTTTGCCATCTGAGATTCGCAAGCAAGGGAAGAACCATGAAGGCCTCTTTGGAGGAGGAGAAGTGGATACCCCTGTGGGGAGTTCCTCTTTCGCAAGCAAGCTGAAAGTTAACTCAGAAGTTCAGAGAGAGCTGGAGTGCAATAAGAGGCAGGCTCCTGAGCAGCAGTTTAAGACCCCTGAGAACATAGAAAGGAGTGAAGCTGTTATGTATGTACAGAGTGGGTCTGTATCGCAGCCTGCCAAGGCAAAAGCTCCTGTTTGGAAAGTGTCGACAGCAAAGCATAAAGTCCTGACTCGCTCAATGTCTGACTATGCTGTGGCTCCTAAGCTAGAAGCTTTTAAAAGTAAGGAGAGCATGGAAGCAAATGCACCAAACGGTGAGATTGGCATGGTTGACACAAAAGTCTCTGTTGCCCAGCTCCGTAATGTCTTTCTGGAGACTGCTAATGCCAACAAGAAAACAGAACTGTAGGTGACATTTCAGACATATTTTCGTGTGAAACTTGCACGTCCTTGGCAAAAATTACACACACTCAACAGCAGTTGTGATCGGCAGTTAAAGCACACAGCTTAGCTCTCACCAGTGTGTACTGGAGGCTGAGATCGTTTGAATCCCGCTTTTGTGCTTCTGCTTGCTAGTGCAAGTTGTGATGTGGGGTAGCTGGAATGTGTACGTCTGTGCATGTTACCGGAGGAGCATGCAGAGTGATCTCTAGTGAATTGTTGAGATGCTTACATCTATGCTTTACTTCTCTCTTCTATTTTCTTTTCTATGCGCTTTCTATCATGTGGTTTAAAAGTGAATCTCGGTTTGAGATGTCAACGGCAGGTAGCACTTTGTCGGCCAATGGTGACCGTGAAAGAGGGCCACGAAGGCCGAGGCGCTATTTTTCTCCTGGTGAAAATAGAAAGACTTCTGAGAGATTTAAAACTCAACCTATAACGTCAGCAGAACGAAAGGAGACAGATAGGTAGGCACGTATGTAGCTCTGTGTAGCATTCTGGTGCAGGTAGACATGAACAAGCTTGTGAAAAGACTTTGTTCATTTATTAGCATAAACGTTTTGCAAGGTTATTGTTTCTCTTTAAAAACAATCAAGTGTTTGTTATAGCTTCTTATAAAATATAAAACCAAAACACTGACAACAAAACCAATTCGTTGCAAATCCCCCCCACATAAAATGGTGAACAATGAATCATCATAAAGCATTATAGCTGTCTGGTTCTGTCTAATGATAAATGCTTTTGTCTGTTTTTATATAAAGTTTCCTTTCCATCTACTCTGCTTTATCATTTACTTTTTTTGTAAACAACCAAAGCTACATATTTAAAAGAGCTGGCAGCAAATCTTAGACTTTCATCTTATGCAAGATGAACTGGAAATCATTTTCCTTTACTGTATTTAAGTTTGGCTGCAATTGCTTGCCCTTCTGCTTTATTAAAGGATGTCAAAGTGGAAACTGTTGAAACTTGAAAAATAGATAAAGTTTTCCCACTCTTAAGACTTTTGAGGTCCTGCTACTTCAGATGGAGTTTGAATTTAATTTTTGATGTCTCATTTCCAGCTAACTTCTTTCTGTTTGATAATTTTTCACTAGGTCAGTTTTGAGTGCAGAAATACCAACTGCTGAAGGTACGTTACTATGCTATTTTCTAAGGAAGAAATGGGAGCAAATGTGTTCTGTTTTAACTGGAGAACTATTCGATAATGCAAACAAAGTCCACTTGAAAATAACTTTCATTACCTATAATAAGTTTGAAGTATCACTTTTCCTTGGGCCATGTCTACTACAGACTTGATTTCAAGTGCATTTAATTCCAAAAGTCTGTCTGTGGATACCAAACTTTGTATGGGAGGCAAGGGGGCAGAATGGCTTGATGCTTTTCAACATTTTTTTTTTCTGATTTAGACAATAAATAAGCTAGTTGATGGAGAAAAAGAATACATATTTTAATCAGTGGTCTAGGACTAATAACTAAAAAAGCCTTTACTAGAGTGTGAAACTGATATTGGTAACGTCATCTAGCTGAGGAAGTCGCAAGATGCTGGTTATTAAATTATATAATTCAGTCTGCCATCTTGCTTCTCTTTCCCTCTTGTCACTCTTGGCAAGTCTGGCACAAATTAAGTAGGTAATCTCATGAGTAGCTAAATTTAGATTTAATGCCTTATGCTATTTGAAAGCTGATATTCTCTGCAGCTTTGAGATGCTGGCTCTTGGATCTGGAGGATGCTGATTTCAGCTCCTAAGGATACCTGTTGAGCCTCTGAAAAATGGGCCACAAAGTGGTAATCAGAATGACCAGCTTCCAGGAGAGACCATCTTGTACGGTCAGCTAGTAGAAAATAGATGTTCTGTACAGCAGGATGAATACTGACCCTTAAAACAGTCTTTCAGTCTAATTATTTTCTTAGTCCATGTGTTATCATAGACTAATGTAGTACGTTTGATTATTCATAAAAGGTTGTTTGGATAACTTGAAAGCCCATGAACTGTCCTGAAGAAAGTCTTTTGTTCTCAAATCCTGTTCAGAATTTTCCTCTGATGCAATACATGTAAATACAAATAAAGTTTACACAAGTTGGTTCATGATAAATCTTTTGTTAAAAGGGAGTAAGAACCAGCTTATTTGCTGGTGGTGCTTCTTGTCTTAGTAAAACATAATTTTTGAGGAGTTCAGAAATCATTTAGTCAAAAAAACCCTTGCACTTAATATGAGCTTGATTCATTACATTCAGCCTCCTTTTTTTTTTCCGTTGTGTAGATGAAGAAAAATTGGATGACCGAGCCAAACTAAGCGTAGCTGCAAAGAGGCTGCTTTTTAGAGTAAGTATTACATTTTCTTAATAGAAGGCTGAATTAAACATTTCAAATACAAGATGCTGAAGAACCCAAAGTGCATTAGAATGAAGTGTAATGCAGTTAACCAAGTCCAAGCTACATAATTTTTTTTTACTTCATCTCTCCTACCTACACAGTAGACCTATTGCCCTAAAGCCTTCTTTAAGAACATCATTTAGAGAGATGTGTAGTTAGTTTTAAATACGTGACACCTACTGTGCAATTACATCCTGCTTCTAATTCAGAGATGGGCATTTGGGAAATTTATTACTTTGCATGCGAGAGCTAAAAAGAAAGTACTGTTTTAGGACTTTTCTTCCATGGTTTTAATTATGACATGTGTCCTCTTAGGAAATGGAAAAATCATTTGAAATGAAAAATATTCCTAAACCACCTACAAGAAGTTCAGCAGTAGAGAGAAGACTGCGGCGTTTGCAGGATAGATCGCACACACAACCAATTACCAGTGAGGAAGTGGTCATTGCAGCTACGTAAGTCTTGTACACATGTTGGCTCTAACTTTGGTTCCTGCTTTTAAATCTGGGAATAAGTTCCATATATGTGGTGTTTACAACTTTGTAGCAAGGAAAACACTTATTGTTAAGGGCCAACTTCCTTGAGAACCACAGGGGAAACTATATTGAAATTCTTTTTTAGAAGTAGAGAGACTAGAAAAGCATAACTTCTATGAACTGTAATTTGGCAGAAAGCTCATGAAGGTATAGATTAGGTAAACGGGATTAATCATAGCATTGGTTTGTAACTCAAATGAAAAAGATACTTTGCGCTGAGGGAAATCTGCACAATTTCTTACGGAATGTATTTATATTGGGGAAAACCTTTTACACTCTGAAATCTGAAATGTACTTTTTGGAAATGCGTTTCTTGCACTCTGGTCACACGTCATGAAATTTTCCTGAAAAAAGGAAAGTCATTTTTGGGGAAAATTAAACAAAGGTGAATGGACATTCACCTAATGATCTACTAAAAGATAGCTTATGTTGTGGGTAATGAGTAACCTCAAGAGACAACCTGTTTGCTCCTCTAGGTTTCTAGTTCGGTCAAAGTATTTGAAGTTATTTTGCAAAGGTCGCAGCAGATAACTCAGTTAATTAAAAATCGTTGCTGTTTGTTTTTTTCTGGTTTGGTTTGGTTTTGGTCTTTTCTGTAGTTAACACAATGTAATGCTTTTCTTAATGCTTTTTTCTTCTCTCTCCCTGTGAATTTTCCCTCCTTGGCAATTCTTTAAAGTGAATCTACCCCTGCTTCACGTTCTGTGAATACCCACACAGTAGTGACAAGAGTACCTAGTCCCACTGTAGTTAAGAGCACTGTACAACCTATCAGGTACTGGGGGGGATAAACATGCATGTTACATGGAGCACAAGATTCCTCAATAGCAGATGCATCTTTAAAGTCTTGAATGCCTTTTCAATGTGTCAAGTCAATACTCGTTTCAAGAATATTTAAAACATTCGTCAACTTCATTTATGTTTGCATGATAGAACAATGCAGCTTTTTTTTTTGTCAAGCATCTGTTTTCAGGACCTTTCTAACCACACTTACCTGGTCTAGAAGCATATTCTTCTTCTTTGTGAGATAAATGAATTTGCATGTGAGCAAACCTAGCAGAACCTTCTTTGCTCTTGTACTTTTTTTTATACAGGAATGTCATCTTGAGATAAAAATACCAAAGGTGGGTGCTTGATTTCACAAGCACTACATATCCTCTTTGTCTGTCTCTACATATATTTTTTTTAGCATGCAAAATTAAAGGAAAGATAAGAAATTGCACCACCTATAGGTAAAGTCATAGAATACTGTTTGCCTGTTCTGAATGTGACAATTTTAGCAGAGACCATGACAGGAAGAAAAAAAAAAAAAGAGAATACTACTAATTCCATAAATGTGGCTAAATCTAGCTAGAGGTGAATAAAATACATTATTGTAGAGACAAATGCAGTTACAGCTTTTATGAATGAATGTGTCCGCCTTCAGCATTGGTCAATCTTCAAAATTAATGGAGTATATTTCAAAAACATTCTTTGTTGTTGAGTTACCCCAGATAATTCAAAACAAAAGTCAGTCTGAATTCTGTTCCACTTCAATTTGTAAGAGGCATTACAATTTATGCTAACCTAAAAGTAGCACTAACTTGGAGTTTAAATCCATCTTCTAAAAGTTTTTATCATATATGCTCCACAAATTATTTCTAATAAAATTGAATTTTACGTAAATTGCACTGTAGGACCTGTGTTTGTTCTACAGCAGGCAGCTTAAATGTCTCTCCATAGCTCTGTATTCTGTATAAAGAGATTGGTCTGAAAAGTCTCTCTTCAATCTTGAGTTCCCCTTTTAAAAAATTGTTGTGTCCTAATCAAATGAATTTGTGAATGAAAATTTAACTTTTTTTAAATCTTCAGCTGTTGAATTAGAATTCATCATGCCAATGTTGAACCACTGCATAACCACTTAGGCTGCTATATTACATTGGCTATTGTGCTTCATGTGCAGTTCTTCTGCTTCTATCAGGTTGAGATTTTAAAACTTCATAAAGGCTTCTTCAAAACTCATTTCCAGTTCTGTTTCTTCAGCTTGCAGGCATCAGCACACCAAAAAATTTTAGCTAAAGAGGAGATAAGAGCAGCCAAAGAGGCAATGGGGCAAGATCAGTCTGAAGAACCAGATTCTTCCACCTTAAGTTTGGCAGAAAAGATGGCTTTGTTTAACAAACTGTCTCAACCAGTATCCAGGGCCATCTCCACAAGGAGTCGAGGAGATATTAGGCACAGGAGAATGAATGCTCGTTACCAGACTCAGCCAGTCACTCTTGGAGAAGTGGAGCAGGTAAGTTCAGTCTTAACTCTTTTTCATTTGTTTCTTTTTATTGGAGAAAGCAGCTTCAGTGTAAGATGCCGTAACAGCTGGCCTTTTCTTTGCTCTGAACTACACACTGGGGTCATGACATATTCGCAGGAAAAAGCTTGTCAGGAGCAGTCTTCTGACATTGAGGAACAACATCCTCTAAAATGATCAACTTCATTGGTGTGTTGTTCTTTTGTAAGTAGTTCAAGAGTACATCATCTTCCTGATTAGTGCATGCTGTACCTTTCACAGTGTCTGTCTTTTCCAATAGAATATTACGTGTCTTCTAAAAGTAAATTCCTTTCCGATAGAATATTACATATCTTCTAAAAGTAAATTCCTGACCAAAGAGATAAAAACTGTGACACGTATCATCGTGCTTTAGATGTATTTTCAGGGAATTTTGGAGCTTTCTCATGTGCAACTTTCAGACTCTTTCCTGAAAGCACTATATATTTGCATTATTAGTTGGGACATATTCTGTCATTTCCTCTGGGAGGGGGCATTGATTTTTATTTTTATTTTTTTCTTTAAAAGCAGAATACTTTTGAAATTCAGAAAGTCATGGTCAAAATGAAATTATTTAATATGTGCAGTGGAATTGGGCTTCCTGTTCTGGAATCCTTCACATAATTGGAACTGCAAAGGAATGCCTTTTTAGTGAAGTTTGAGCATAAGATGGCCCAGCAGTGGTCTTTCAGAGCTGATGCTCACAATAGCAGAAACATCAGTCCCTTAGTATTACAGCTTTAAAAGAAATCACTTTAACAGTGAAGCACAACTCCTATGCATGTCGTATTTCTAGGGATTTGGATCAATCTGTGTTAGAAAGTTCCTACCCTTCTCTTTCTATATGCTTCATTCATGATTATACATTTTCCATATTGTAATAATAGAATAGTGAGAAGGCAGGATTTCTCCAACCATATTGGTGCAAAGCTGTACAGATATATAATTGTACTTTATGCCTACTTTACTTAGGCATGAAGTAGTAAATATTTATTTTAT